TTCAGACGTTTGGCTTGGCACTGGTGACATCAAAGATTTTTACCCATCAACATGTCCCACCCAAGCTTGTGAAGTTATTCGAAATGAACTTTTGGACTTTGAAGGTCCCTCCCAGCGTGCTGCAATCAATGCTTTGGTCGCTGCAATGAGCCTTGTTTTGTCCAACCAGTACGTCAGAGCAAATGGGCAAATTTTCAGGTGCCGACGGATTGGGCAGGGTTTGGCTTGCGCTTCTGAAATTTGTGACCTTGTTGCTTCACGCACTGTTGATCAGCATCCTCAAGTCGTTGCCCTGCTGCAGGAATGCGCGCAATGGTATGGGAGATTTCGCGATGACTGCCTTGTTATCTGGATTGGTCCTCCTGACCGACGGCTTGCTTTTGAAGAAGCCTACAACCAGGCAAACCCCAGATATGTCAGCAAGTGGGAATGGTCGCAAAGCTGTGTGTCTTTCCTGGATTCGAGCATTGCAGTACATGACGGCAAACTGCGAATCAGGACTCATTTCAAAGCTAGCAATTTGTTTAGATACATCCCTCCGTGGTCCTCTCATGCACCAACCGTGTTTAGCAGTTGGATTCAAGGTGAGATGCAAAGATACATGATTACCAACAGCACTGTTGAGGATTTTTGTGAGGTTCGCTCAGCCTTTCTGGAAAGACTTTGTGCTTGCGGCTATCAGCGTAGTTTCGTAATGCAAGTTTTTGAATCAGAGAAATGCCAGTATGCACGGCGGCCTCAATTGCTAGCTGCCCAGTGCAAAAATCGGCAGCGATGTGTGCCTTTTTGTGTCAGGTACCATCCCTTTTTCGAATGTATGCGGATTCGCTCAGTGCTCCGTAGATGGCAGGCCAAAATCCAACCTATCCTTGCATCCAGCCCCCGCCTTGTTGTTGCCTACAAAAGAGGCCAACACTTGTTACATACTTTGCGCAATGGCGCATAAGAACTGCAATGTGGTGGGAGGGCGGGTGCAGTTTTTTTGAATTCAAAAAATGTTCAGACATGAATTATGTGTGGCCTGCAGTTTTCTGGCTCTACACTGCGCAGAGGGGTGCTGAAGAGAGCGCTCTGCGTGGTGAGGCCTCCACCCAACGTGCCGAAAGGCCTGAGCCATTAACATCATAAATATCATCTACCTCTTTGCGTAGATCGGAAAACAAGCTGCTCCACTGGCGCGATCCCTCTCTCATTTCGGCGGGTGTTGATCTCTTTGTTGTTTGAGTGCAGGCATAGCCATGTGGAAGCATGCTGATAGAAATTCCAATGCAGATGAGTTGCGAAGGAGAACCATCCAAGAAAGTCAAGCTGCTGATGCAGCTGGACGAAGAACAACTCTTCGCGGTGAACAAGAGCATGATGAAATGAATGATGATGATGCCATGCAGGAAAATGAGAACACTCAGAAGTTTCAGTTTGACTTCAAGTCACTCCAGCGTCCTTTCCAAAAGTTGTTGTTTGAGAACCACGATAGACTTCGAAGGGATGTTGCTTCCCTTTGGACTGCGCGCAAGCAATTTGAGGCAGTCCTTGAAGAGTACCAGAAGTTCCAAGAAACTGGTCAGGCACCCCGCTTTGCTGATGCTTTCAAAGTGCCGAAGTGTGTCCTTGGCATGCCATTTCCTTTACAAGACGGACCAGCAGCTGGTAAGTCCATCCAAGAAGTGATTGACTCGTTCCAGACTGCACAGTTAGCCACAAAGGTTGATCACATGGTAAAGGTAAAGGAGGCTGTAGTGGACCACTTCAAAGCGAAAGTGAGCCAGCGGTCCTATGAGGAGTCCATTCGGAAGCAGCTTGACCACGTGGTTGATGAATTGCGGGCGATGGCCCTTGACCTTGACTTTGGGTATGAAGCTTGGTATGAAGAAGCAAGTCATTTTGCCAAGGTTTCTTTTGAGCATGTTGTTTTTGCAAGAGCGGCCAATGCAGTACGAGCGACCCAAACACAAAACAAGCTTGAAGAGCGCCAATCTCGTGCCCAAGCCGCCTTCACAGCTTTGCCAAAAGAAGCCCAATTTGAACTCATGATCGAAAGCAAGATTCACAGCATGTTTGGTAGAGGCAGATCTGAACCAGCCTATCGCCACCTGTGCCTCAACTCCAAAGAACAGCATGACTTGAACAGAGCCTTGTCTTCCTTCCGGGGTGAGTTTGGTTTGAATGCTAGGAGACACAGCAGAAGCAGACAAACATCAGCCAGCAGCAAAGGCAGGAACAAAGGTAAAGGTAAAGGCAAAGGTAAGAATGCCAGCCGTCCTTCGTCCAAACCATCCCAAGTACCCAATAGCCGCAAAGGCAGAGGTAAAGGTATGCCCCGCGCCAGATCCAGAACCCCATCCAACCATCCCAGAGCTCGTGAGCACAGCACCAAGGGAAAGGGCAAAGGTAAAGCAAAAGGTAAAGGTAAGAGAAAGGGGTTAGCTTCAGCTCCACGGTCACCATCGTGGAATTCCCGATGGACCAACGGCCGTGCGACATTCAATCCTCAAGGTCGTACTCCCTACCGACCTCTTCAAGGTCGCGGCGGAGGATGGCACGGAGTGCGATGGTAGAAGACGAGCGAAAGATGCGACGGTATCAATGTGGGCGCTGCCGTCGCAAAGTAGAGTGGTTATCATCGTGCCCATTGCCTAGTTTCACTTGGAGCTTTTTGCTGAAACTTTCAAACCAGATTTCATGGGAGTGTGCCATCAAGTATTTCACAGGCGACCTTGACCTGGGCATTTTAGGGTTTGATCATGCCAATGGTCGTGTTGTTCCCCGTCGCTCTGTTGGCGTTCCAGATTGTGTGGCATATTTGCTTTCAAAAGGGCCGAAGTTCATCATTGGCAGGCGTAGCGTTCCACATTTGCGTGAGCTGATTGATGCTTTGGATTCCTTCAAGCGACAGATCTTGTGTTGCAAATTTTTCGAAGGACAGCTGCATGGGGATGGCAGTTCTACATCTTCGACTTTGCAATGGTCTGGCCTGATGCTGCCTTCCACATGGCAGCCTCCATCTCATCCAGAAATTGTGCATTTACTGGACAAGATGAGACTTGACATGATGGCCAATTTTGCGGCTACTGCCGCGCAATTCCACACTTTTAGCAACCTTGACGCAATTGACCGCATGGGTCTTCGGTGGCTCAAAGACAACGACTTTGTTGTTGTCAAAGACGACAAAGGGAGTAGTTTGATCCCGCAAAGGAGAACTTTCAAAGAGAGTGTTCGCATTGCTTTGGCCACTGACATTGACCAGTTTGAAGCCTCGAAGCCGGATGCTTGTGCAGTACACCTTGCAGTTGAGAACATTGTTCCAAAACTTGGACTTCCCGGGCGTGTCGCTGGACTCTTGACATGGCAAAAAGCATTTGAAGAATGGCCTATCCATGACATAGAATACACATGGAAATCACACAAGCAGGTGCAAACGGCCAGGTGCATCACTCCAACTACTAGATCTCCTTTGACACCACTTGCAAAAGTTGTTCAACGGCGGTTGAAACCAGTTGTCGCAAACAAAGCGCAGATTGTCACGTGCACACGTGATGTGGTGGCAGCGTTGGATGGCCTTCCAGTCCCTTCAGACGTTTGGCTTGGCACTGGTGACATCAAAGATTTTTACCCATCAACATGTCCCACCCAAGCTTGTGAAGTTATTCGAAATGAACTTTTGGACTTTGAAGGTCCCTCCCAGCGTGCTGCAATCAATGCTTTGGTCGCTGCAATGAGCCTTGTTTTGTCCAACCAGTACGTCAGAGCAAATGGGCAAATTTTCAGGTGCCGACGGATTGGGCAGGGTTTGGCTTGCGCTTCTGAAATTTGTGACCTTGTTGCTTCACGCACTGTTGATCAGCATCCTCAAGTCGTTGCCCTGCTGCAGGAATGCGCGCAATGGTATGGGAGATTTCGCGATGACTGCCTTGTTATCTGGATTGGTCCTCCTGACCGACGGCTTGCTTTTGAAGAAGCCTACAACCAGGCAAACCCCAGATATGTCAGCAAGTGGGAATGGTCGCAAAGCTGTGTGTCTTTCCTGGATTTGAGCATTGCAGTACATGACGGCAAACTGCGAATCAGGACTCATTTCAAAGCTAGCAATTTGTTTAGATACATCCCTCCGTGGTCCTCTCATGCACCAACCGTGTTTAGCAGTTGGATTCAAGGTGAGATGCAAAGATACATCATTACCAGCAGCACTGTTGAGGATTTTTGTGAGGTTCGCTCAGCCTTTCTGGAAAGACTTTGTGCTTGCGGCTATCAGCGTAGTTTCGTAATGCAAGTTTTTGACTCAGAGAAATGCCAGTATGCACGGCGGCCTCAATTGTTAGCTGCCCAGTGCAAAAATCGGCAGCGATGTGTGCCTTTTTGTGTCAGGTACCATCCCTTTTTCGAATGTATGCGGATTCGCTCAGTGCTCCGTAGATGGCAGGCCAAAATCCAACCTATCCTTGCATCCAGCCCCCGCCTTGTTGTTGCCTACAAAAGAGGCCAACACTTGTTACATACTTTGCGCAATGGCGCATAAGAACTGCAATGTGGTGGGAGGGCGGGTGCAGTTTTTTTGAATTCAAAAAATGTTCAGACATGAATTATGTGTGGCCTGCAGTTTTCTGGCTCTACACTGCGCAGAGGGGTGCTGAAGAGAGCGCTCTGCGTGGTGAGGCCTCCACCCAACGTGCCGAAAGGCCTGAGCCATTAACATCATAAATATCATCTACCTCTTTGCGTAGATCGGAAAACAAGCTGCTCCACTGGCGCGATCCCTCTCTCATTTCGGCGGGTGTCTTGAGGATCATCCATTTGTGGCATATTGTGGCATTGACAGCCGGATTTTAAGACCCGGTACCAGCAGTCCCTGCACAGTGTGACATGGATATCATCGCAACGCATCATGTTTTGAAGGTCCAGCTGCAATGGTATTCTTATGTATTGTTTAGACGTTTAGCAGTGTTAAACTCTGTTAAACACTACCAACCAAAGTTTTTGCGGTTTCTCTACTGTCATTGCCAAGCTCATGACTGAGAAATTCTGGCACACTCAAAGCGTTCACGCCGGACACGTCGAGACCACACGGGCGCTCGACCACTCTTGTCCTCCTGCGATCTACCATCCCTATCCGACATATCGTGCAGCGCGTTTTACCAATCTGTTTCGAGCCATTCGAGCCATTCGAGACATGCAACATGAATCAACAGCTGTCCTTTCGAGCTCAGGACTTTCCATCAAGGCAAATCGGATCTCGATGGCCTCACCCCGACCGCGACCGGATCTGGAGGGTCCCTTTTTCTCCACATGTCATGGTCAGAGTCATCCACGACTGGGGGTACCGTGACTTAGGAAACCCCTAAATGGAGAGGATATGGATGGGATGATGGGATGATGGGATGATGGGATATGAATGGATATGGGGACACTACGTGAACAACCAAGCTCATTTCTTTTCACGAAGTGTAGAGAGAAATCTTCCCTATTCCCCAGGTATGCACGTCCTTAAGTGGCGGCAGGATCTAGGCATGCAACATTTTGGAACCAAGAATTCTTCGCAGCTGTATTCATGTGTATAGATATTTCTTGCTATGAAACATACTGAGACATGTGGAGTTCATTGCCAGATTTGCGTATACTCAAAGGATCTCAAAAGTATCTCGAAGGTTAACCTTACTTTGGAATACTTTTCCGGCTGGAGTGCTGACACTCCCTCGCACCTCCGGTACTATTCGCAGCTCTCGACCATTCAACTTACCTCACAAAGATCTGAGCAGTAAAGGAGAGGTGCTTTGGGCATGTGTGGCCTCTGCAAGTGTGGTCGAGGTGTCCAACGAAACACTGAAGCGATCTGTACCTGTAACACTCAATAACATTCAATAATTGGATTCAACTGGTACTTGTCTAATCTCAGTAATCTCTTCCCATGTAAGTTGTGTAAATGCCTGGCATATTATTTGTGATTTGTAGTTTGTAGATATTAATAGTACAACAATCCATACATTTCAAACTTCAGGTTTCAGGTGAGCGTTACTCTTTCAGTCCTCTATCCAGCCTGCACAATTCTTCCACAGCAAAGCCAAGTCCTGACTTAAAGCGGTCCGACAGGAAATGACAGCCTGTCATGACTGTGAATTTCCTTGGAGCCTCCTGGTAGTATCACCAAAAATCATCATAAATCCGGATATTAACCATTTATTAAACTACATCAGCAGCTTCGACACAATAGCAGGTTAACTAGTTTGGCATCTTATGGCCCAAATTTCCAAGTTCCACCCCCAAAAATGGGGAAATGTTGTGGGTTTGGAGAGGTATTATCCAAACAAAATTAGGAATCTCGGCCGCTCCAAGACCGACCCTGCACTGATTCCGTCTCCTCAAAAGCCTCCGAACGCAAGCCGCCGGACCCGCCGACGATGTCCTTCACAAGATTCGAGGTGGGGATGGGGATCGGGCAAATATGATTATATTATATATACATATGTTTTATAAATCATATTATATATAATAGTAATATTAATTTATAAGAATAATTTATATATCATATCATTTTATATATAATTAATATGTAAAATAAATATAATAATTATTACATGTAATATATATATATACGTATATATATATATAATATATATAATATACATATGCTCAGCGCGCCCCCAAGACTCGCAGCTCTGCAGAGTTTCAAACTTTAACTGCAACCAGGAGCAATTTTGCAGGTTGCCAAACAGGGTTGGTCCGAAAATGGTATACCGCCAATCATGATAGTTATGGCAATTTGATCAGGTTGAATCATTTTCATAGGGAAAATCACTGAAATCTCAGGTGCCATTCAGGGGTACCCCATATGTCCACAAACCCACAACAACACGTCATTGCCTCACACAACAGGATCGCAGCCGGCAACATTTCGTCTTTTCCAGGACCATCCTGGACTCGATGAAAGGCGGATCAAACCACTGAGATCAAACTCGTCACCCGCCTTGACCGGAGGGTATGGAGCAGGTAGTGCAGCCTGCAGCTAGATGGTCAGCAGTCCAGTATCAAGTTGCTGTGGGATTCTACCAAGGGGTCAGTTATCAGTTATCAAAAATATCTATGTCCACAAACACTCGGAAAAATGCACCAAATCTTCCGTTTCTTCGAAATCTCCAGCAGCCGCCTGGATCACTTGCTCAGGTGATGCCAAAAGCAAGTGAACCTGGCAGGGAAAGGAGAGCTTTAAAAAGCAACATAGAAAAACATGAAAAACCAAGGTTTTTTTGACTAAACAATCCATTCAAATCAAACCAGAATCCTGATGATTTATATTGAATTTTGATGATTTATGACGATGATTTCTCCTTGGGGCGGTGGAGACAGTGCCATGGCAAGATATCAACTGGATTCCTGCTGGATCCAAATTGAAAAAAGACTCGGTAAACATCTTAACCCAACTAGGAACACAGAAGCATGTATTTGAAGGAGTTGACACGAAAGACCATAGCATTCAACTGTGCCCTAAAATCACCAGAATCTGGGTCTGGGAACACCAAAGTGTCCAAATATCAGACGATCCAGCTGCATGATCCCAACCTCCATTGCCAAGTCAGAATGGGCCAGCAAAGATTCCATCACCTGTCGGTGCTCGCCCACAAAAGCTGAGCGGACATGTATGAAAAACCAGTTTCTTGTTTCTACCCTTGTTTAGCCTTGAGTTTTGTGCCTGTCAGACTTTGCATGCAGAGAAAGGCGCGAAAACACTATCGGGTTGGCCAATCAAGTGCAGCCAGACTGCATATCTTCACCAGCTCATGTGAAAGTTCGCCACGTTGACACAACAGCCCAATAAAATAATATTATCATGTTAAATTAGCCTTTTCAAACATCCACCTTTTGGTCAGCAGCGAAACACTCAGTGGATCATTTCGAATCACAATGGATTTAACGCCTCCTTCTCATCGTCAGAACTGACACCTGGCACTGGTGTGACAAAGGACGTGACCGATCATGAAGCACTAACGGCCTGTCAAAAAGAGAATTGCGAATCATCCGAATGTTTCACTTGAATTGTTGAGAATAGTGGGATCTATGAAATATATTGAATTATCTGCCAACATTTGCCAGCGTTCATTCCACGAATGAAAAAGTTGACTTGGGAGATCTTGGGAGTGACGCCTGCTACTGTGCTCTGCACCCGGCGCATCGAGGGTAGAAGCAGCCCCAATGGCAGAGACTGGCATGGCAGGGATCGCAAGGATGAAGAACCATGAAAAATCGATGTTTGAAACCATCTAAAACCACGAAGCAATCATGGTATGTCATGGTAAATTGCATGGTAAATTGCAGTTGAACATGGAGGAAGATGGATGAACATGGGAGGCAGGTTGAGATACTTCAGACATCTTCAGACCCTGTGGTTTCGATAAGATCAAAGGTTTCTGGAGGATTTGCTGGTCATCCGCCTGGTTTAGCTGACAACACACCGGTCATCCGTGGTAGCCATACTCGACCATCTAGGTTGGTGCAAAAGTGGAGTACCCCTAAATCCTCCAAAAATCCTCCAAAAATCCTCCAAAAACATATAAACCTATCCTGTCCATCATTTTCCTCAGCAACTTGCCATTTTGATCCATTTCGCTGTACTGACGAAGATCCCTGCCTCAGAGATATGAAGCAGTTGGACGGCCATGCCATCAGGCAAACCTCAGCGAAGAACCATTGCCGGGGGACAAATAATCTCTGAACCATTGCGAATCGTTGCGAATATGCCTCGAAATTTATGGGACAAATTCATGAAACATGGAAAATCCTCTGGGAAAAAACATGGCAGTGGGAATAGTTTCCCATCTTTTTTCACATTGCCCTTGCCAAGTTCTATAACTTTGTGGGAGCGCCACTGTCGCAACTGTCCAGGGAACTGCCCATGGCACGCTGCAAAGCTGTGTCAACCACCTGGAAGCAGCACATCGAATAAATCAGTGCATCTCCTACCCTGGCTTTATGGTATCTTATCGCCAGTTTCTATAACTTTATTATCAGGTTACATACATCATCTTATATCATTTTAAATTATTTTATATCATGTTATATTATGCTATATTACTTTATAGCATGTTATATTATGTTATACTATTTTATGGAATCATCATAAGTACAATTGGGATTTTGCTTGGGTGTCCTGTGCCATATTTGTGATGGGATTCAATGCCATGGCATTGAGCTGATGAAACCAATCATCTCTGAGCATTTCAATCAATTGTGGTTTGCTGTGGAGGACTACAAATCATGCAACATCAAAACAACAACTTACTGGTGCTTAGTAGGGAATGGATGGGAATGGGGGAATGGGATGATTATTACTATAGTGATTATGGATCATTCCCTCATTCCCTACTAAGCACCAGTAAGACAATTTCAGGAATTCTTCGCGTAATTCAGAAAAGAGATACTTGACAGGGAAAACAATACTTGGAGTTCGGCAAAATCAACGGCGAGACAGGACGGAAGCGAGCATACAACATCAGAGCGGATTTGGGACCAAAGCATCATTCAGACAGTACATACTATACAATGCATCGATGACGCGCTCATTCCATTGAACCATTGGTTCATAGGTCAAAGAGCTCTTGTTTCTGAGCTGGATGTTCATCGCCCCATCAGCCAATCTGAATACATTCAAAAAATTCACCAACATCAAATAAAGTTGAATAAAGCCATTTTTGGGATGATTCCTCCAATCCAATTCCCACCATTGCAGCGACATTGCGACCATCCTTACGGGATTCCACCTGCCAATGGTTGCTGTCATTCAAACGGAGAAGCTCCTCCTCCTCGAGCCTCAGACGGGTGCGAAAGGCCATTGCCATGAATTCCTGTCCAATCAACCAGATTTATATATGTATATATTATCAGTATCAATATATATATATATATGGTTGTGAGTCAAAATTGTGTGTGGAACGTTCTGCGGTGTTCCGGACGTGTGGAACAAAGGAGCTTCGTAACTGGTCTTGTTCCAGACCTTCCTAGTGTGATGAAATATAGGCTATGCACATATACTATTTTAAAAATCTATAAATATATATCTCAAAGATATACATGTTTAAGCTATTCACGCTAGCTGCAGCTCTTTTTCACTTCTCATCTGCACGACATCCTTGTACACCTGTTCAACGCAGGTTTGACTTGGATGGCTAGCGCTTGTGAAGTAGCTAAGACACAACCGGTAGCCAGTGCCACCCACTGGCTCCCATGTGAAGCTGTCCACTCAGCTTCAGTCCTGTCACGCAACTCTAGGCTCCCATAACCCGTGTTCAAGATAGGTATGGAACAGAGGTATGGAACGGATCCTTCCAGCAGGGTGTGGTCCCGGACCTTGTTCCGGACCTTATAATTTGACTTGCGCCCATATGTAGGTAGTATTTAGCGCAAAGGAAGATAGACTACAAATTGACGGTGAATTGATGCTTACAGTAACTTCTGGTAATCAATTCATGTATAGCAACCGGCAGGATGCCGCACTGCCGAGGAGCTCCAGCTTCGGCCAGGTCGCGACATCTTCGGAAACCCAACGGTCAGCGCCAATCTGCAGGGGCTGGTGCTGACAGATGATGGGATTGTGAAAATAGTATAAAATAGGTGTGGAATGTTATGGATTAATATGGCTTTAGATATAGTTAGATTAATATGGCTTTAGATGATTTCCAGTAAATTTCATCTGCTTCAGATATCAACTTGCCCAGTCAGGGATTTCTGAGCTGCACAGCAACTTCCAGGTTTCTGATCTATCCAAGGCCTCCTATCATCTTGGTACCTCTCCTGGCCACTGCTGGTCGCCGTTGTAGCTCCCACTTCATCACGGTGGAAGTGGCTGGATCTTTGTACAACGGTGTGTCTCAAAACGGGGTAGTCTCCCTCCAAAGGTCCAATTGAAAATGGGGATGATGATTTTCGGTTTGCATTACATCAAATTCATTGAAACTTGGGGTATACCATGGTTTACGCTGTTTTCAGACACAGCCATATCACCATTCGCGTCACACCAACGCTTTGGTGAGTGACAGCTTCTGGAAGAGGCTGATGTTTTTACAGTCTGACGGCTTCTTGTACGCAGGGTCTTCTACGTCCTGGACGTTTCTCAATTGGAGTATCCAGGAGGTAGAGAAGACTGTCATAGGAGTAGCATATTTTTCATTAGGCTTCTAAATAACTTCAAGTTTGACAGCATGCTACCTCTGGGTAAAAAAAAGACGTAAAGATGCCCTTGTTGACTTGATGATCCCTTGACAATGGAAGGGGTATGTGGGTGATTATATCTGCCCAAAGGACCTGGATCTTTCCAGTGACTTCCTGTAAATCCCCAGATTTCGCCCATCCTGCACTGTGTAGCTTCCTTCTCGCACGACGCCTGGAGAGGTTCATAGCTGAGAAAATCATCGAACGAAATGGTGGATTTTCCATTGCCACGTTTGATTGTCAGAGGCTACCCATCTTTCTGGATCAATTTTGCACAAGTCTCCTGGTGTCAGAAACCAACAGCTGGTGTGAGTGGATGCTCGTCTCCCTGATCATGGTACTGGAGAATTGTTCATTGCACATGGTTGTTTCTGAAAATGCGGTATACCACCAATAGTGCCATGTTGCACTGTTGCATTACGGCCACCTGTGCCTTGTGCTACGTACCCCCCACTTCCATTCTGGGATGGATGACCATGCCGGCACAAAAAAGGGTGTGTCGGAACATATTGTACCCCTAAATCCACAGCTTCATCATCATTCTCCCTTTGAAATGCCGATTTTGCGACCCAGCCAACTATCATATCAAGCTAGGAATCCCATTTATCCCATTGTTATTGTTATTTCTCAATTCCTGTTTTCAGACACATCCAAATCCAATATTCATTGATGATCAAATCATAAAATCCTGATTTTTTTCAAGTTAGCTCTCCCATCATATCCTAGCCTATTATCCAAGCTTTTAACACATTTATAATCTAATATAATATATATATACAGTCCTTCCCTGAACTCCATCACTTTGGGGCCTTTCACGCTGTCCACGACCTTCCATGTGGCTGTGCTGTTGCAGAGCTGGGTGGGAAAGGAAGGGAACGCACCCACCCAGCATAGCGTGCATTCGCCCTCCTGGGGTCAGTAGAGGTACATCAGATTTCTGAGATTTCTGGAGGACCATCAGTTGAGTCAGTTGATGGAGGAATTCCTGTCCTGGATTTCTGGATGATCAGTGGATTTCAAAGCGGACATGACGAATTTCTGGCTTACAGCTGAGAGGGGTGAGTGAGTTTGGTACATTACAACCATGGCTCAAAGTTGGGATACCAAAGAATGGAATGATTTCTGCTCCTCGAAGCCACAAACGCTGCCCAGCTCGCGCACCAAAACCAAACTACTGAGCCCGTCGAAGCGGACATGCGCGCAGAGCGCATCAAAGACCTGGGAGCTGTGATCAATTTGGGGTAATCAAGGGATTCAACCAACAATGATGGGATAATTCATGGGATTTAACCAACAATGCTGGGATAATAATTGGATTTGATTTAACCAACAATTTGCAGGGATTTCATGATGGTGTTTAAGACAGTCGAATAATGGCATAATTTCATGGGATGAAAAACAAACACGATGGGATAATCACAACATTTAACACACACAATACAGGGACAAAAAATGGATAAACATAGGATAGTATTCGGATTTAAGAATGGAATACATCATGGGATAACACTGGGATCCAATTGATCCAATACACAATGATTAATGGAGGAAGAACGAGATACTGTCCATTTTGGGATTGCATGGTTTATGGCACCCATGGTAATGGCAATATGATGGTTTCTTGGGATAATTGTTGGAAAAGAAGAACTTTCTCAAACAAATAGACTTTGAGCGAATTCAATGGACATCTACAGTAGTTGACAGTTGAATGAAAGCAGATGAAGCAGCGACCAGGATTGGTGAACAGAAAGAACAAAAACCATCCATGTCGACTTTTTGCAAAGAAACTGAGTTTCGTTTGATTCGACCCTCAAGGGTGCCTCAATCTTCCTTGCTGGCCTTCGCCTTAAGATTTGGCTGCACCCCTTGCCAAGTCTGAGTGTGACACCAAGACTGAGTGCAACATGGTGTATTCCTCCTGGTTGCATCCAAACACTGAAACTAAGCTCTACACAACCAAATTTGTGTCTTGAAGGACCAGTCTGAAACATGCAAAAAATGTTGGCCTCTCTGCCATGCATTTCCATGATGAGCCCAGCCCAGCTGACAGGAGCGTATCCTCCTTGCCCATAATCTGACTGTAGGTCAATGGCAGCAGCATCCGATGTGGCAGATTCCACAGCCAAAAGTAGGCCATCAACGAATGGAAGCCAAGCCTTGGTCGCATCCAAGTCACCATGGGGTCATCAAACCCATCAATTCATTGGATGAGCTCACATGCAACCTATCCCACCAAACGAATCTTAGTTGGATGAGTTGGGCATGGTCCAAAGGAACCAGTTAGAATCAGTTAAAATCTATGTCGTTTTGAATCTTAGGATTGAACCATCCATTGTTGGGCCAAGAATTCAAAGCCACATCCTCTGTTGCTTGAGGACAGTGATACATGTTGGGGTTAAAAGATTCAACTACGGCTCAGAAGGACAATACCTCAAGGAAACTAATATAGGTATTGAAAATGGTGATTTATGGTGGATTTACCTATTCAAGATGGGGATGTTCAAAAGCTATGTTAGTTTCCCAGAGGGTAAACATGGGGCCCACAAACTTTTATCAACTGCCGTGATTGACATTGAACCACTGGCGTTGTCTGAACATAGGCCACCGTACCCCCGAAATTTGATGAATGTTTCCGCGTTTTTGTGTCCGCATTACATTCACATTATCGTTGGTTTCTACCAGTGCCACCCCTAAACTTGCAGTTACATCTGAGTGTGATTTGGCCTTCTGATTCTGGGGTTGCCTGTCTGACAGGTAATGGAAGATGAGGGAATAATTACCCAAAAGGATTCAAATTTTGTTGGTTGTATGATGTTGTATGATTACCTGATTCTATCCCCATTATGGTTGGTTCTGTACCAGTGCAGTTTTAATGTCTTCAATGGGGATATGTTTTTTTTCTCTAGCGCCAATGAAGGTGCGCGGCTTAACCAAAAGATTAAAAACAAATTTGGAACACGGGAGGGTGTCAATTTTCTTAGTGTTTACTCGGTAAGCCCGGAGGCTGTTGGCCGATGGCCAGGTGGATATAAGGCGACCGTATGAAAAAGTTATATCAAAAAGGTCCGCACCGAAGGGCGGCAACATCCACCAATTGCAAAACATCTTGGTGTGTAGGAGAAGGTGGGGCCACCCTTCCCAAGGCGTGATAGGCATCTTTAATAGTCTCTTGAAGCCAATCTAATTTTGGCCTACCTCTTCTTTTTTTCTTGGTGCGAAACTGTTATATCAGAAGAGCACTTGCCGAAGTGGGTCTTTGTGGTTTGCACGAAGAATATGTCCAAATAATTTGAGCTTCTGGTTTTTCCACACCCGAGAAAAATTTGTCGCATCAACACCATATTGTTCACTTGTTCTCGGACTACTTGATTAGTTTGCGTTCGGTCAATGAAAGTAGGTGGAATATTCAAAATTCTGCGAAGTGACTTCATCTGAAAGGCATCTAATTTGTTCATTTCTGCGTGGGTTAGCTGTAAGTTTTCTAAACCGTACATGAGTTTGGATCTGACAATTGCGTTAAATACTCTGAGTTTCCAGTGTGCGCTAGTGTTTGCCTTGTCCCAAAACAGTTTGAGCTGGCAACATGTCTTAACTGCTAAGGCCAAGCGGTTCTGAAGTTCCACTGAGTTATCAGCAGCGTCATTCAACACTGTGCCTAGATATATAGCCTGGCGTTTTCTTGGGACCAATGAGCCATCTGAAAACTTGATAGTGGAAGTCTGTTGGTTAGTAGTCAAGTTAATAAATTTCTGGTAGTTGAGGTTCATGTTACAATAAGAGGACTCAACTTCAATTTCATGTAGGAGTTTGTTTATTGAAGCAGTGTGATCTCCAAAAATCAAGGTATCGTCAGCGTAAAGAATTTCAGAGAAATAAATACCAGGTAACGGTTCAAGGTGCTTTGGGGTATGAAGCCGGTTTTTTATGTCTGAGAATGCAACGGACATGACTAATATAAATAAATATGGGCTGAGTGGGCATCCTTGACGAATACCTGCTTCCTGCCGTAAAAAGGCTGAAGAACCCTCTTCGGATTTTACTTGAAACCTGGGATGTGTATAAATGTCCTTAATAAGTTGAAGGAGGCGTGGTGGTACTTCTAACCTCTGCAGGCTTTCCATAAGACGGTCATGGTCAAGTCGATCAAACGCCTTCTCCCAGTCTAGCATAACTACACTGATGTTCCTACCTGTGACCTCTGCAATACTTTGGAGTCGGCGGGCAAGGGAGATGGCGTGGCTAGTGGATTTGCCGCTATGGAAACCATCGTCGAGTCCTTGTGTCAAACGATTTTTAATCATAGCTGCCAGTAATTTGTAGAATGTCTGCATAATGATATTGGACGATAATTTTCCGATTTCGTGGAGTCTCCCTTTTTGAAAATAGAGACAACTGAGGCTTCATGTAAGGAATCTTCTAATTTTCCTGATTGTAGTATGTCATTGTAAAATTGTAAAAGAGCTTTTCGATTTTCCTCATCAAGATATTTTACTAGTTCCGCTCTCAAATTGTGTGTGCCGGGCGCTTTATTGTTTGGTTGCTTTCGTATCACGGCGTCTAGTTCATCTAAGGTGAACTGGGAATCATTGATGGGAAATCGTCCGTTAGTCAGATTAGAGGGATTGATTTTAGGAGGTGGTATCGTATCCGGGTTTCTTTTCCATTGTTCTTGTGCTAAATATTCTGCAGCCTTGTGGTGGTATTCGCTTCGTGGAATCCTTTCTTCCGTCCTTATCTCGAAATTTTGTGTATTTCAGCCGTGGAGCTTTTCTGAGACGCTTCAAACCATTCCAGGAATAAGAAGACCCTTCCATTTCTTCTAGTTGTTGCAAAAGGTCTGTCTCTTTGTCTTTACGCACTTGGTTTTTAATTTTCTGCGTGATCTCTTGAGCGATCTGTGGCTGTCCTTGCCTACAAGCTTCCTGTCTAGATTCCATAAGGTTCCAGGCGGTAGCAGAAATATAAGGTTGTCGTTGATTTGGGGGAATGACCGTGAAGGACAGACTAGCTGCTTTTTGCAAACATTGAGCCAAGACCGTAACAGGGGTTGTGTCAAAATTTGGGGGGGGCAACCTTGGAGTTGTCGGATAATTTGGTTGTACTTCAGGCGTTGCTCATCGGAGGGCTCACGGTATTTGGGCGCGTGTGCTGTTGACTTTTTTGTTTGTTTCGCAAGCTTAATTACAACGTCTACAACTATCATTTTATGATCTATTCAAGAGAGGTATGGTGAGTCGGATTGAAATTTCTAATTGCATTTCTCCACCTGCGTTTTGACAGAATATGATCAATTTGCGAAAACCTGGTACTCGTAAACGGTGATGCAAAAATCGCAGCTTGCGTATTTCTGCAAGTGATTAGGTCATTGTGATGTTTCTGGAACATTGTGGAGGAGACAACGTAATCCTCTTCCAAGCAGAACTATACAAACAACTCTCTGTTCTCCATTTGCGCTTCGGGTAGGCTGTCTATGTTTTGGTCGTCTGGGTTGAATATATGAGGTCCGATGTGCTCTCGTTCTTCAGGGAGACTTTTTAACAACTTAGCATTGAAGTCCCCGAGTATGATGTGTTGGTTGTGTCGTCCGTATTGTGTGGTGATTTCTCTCAATTTTTCATAGTAATGTATTTTTTCGGAGGAGGGCTTTGCGGAGTGTGGGGCATGAGTGCCAGTCAAATTCATTGTCCCGCCTTTACTCCTGAGCGAAAGGGTGATGTTACGATTGTCATGTTGAACAACATCGATCTTTGAATTTGAAAGATGTCTGTGGTAAACAACTGCTACTCCTAGCTTTTCTGCGTCCAGATTGTAAAGTTGAAGATAGTTGAAACTGGTTTTTCCCTTTATTCTTACCTTTCCCTGCTACTGTTTTCGCCATTTCTCTTGCTTTATACGCTTCTTCTCTTTGCTGATTCGTAATGGAGGAAGAGAAAACAAAACAATATTGGTCATGATGTTCTTCAGTGTTTGTATTGATGTGTGTTTCTTGTAAAAACAAGATATCCAGTTTGTGAGTTTCCATCATGTGTACAACTTTTTTCCCTTGCTGAGATGTGGTTAGCACCCTTACAGTTGAGGGTTGCGATCTTCAAGTTTTTCTGTATTTTTGTGCCCGTGTTATTGCTGTGAAAATGTCCATTGGTGGCGGTCAAGCCTTCTTGAGCCCTATGATAAGTGCACTCCTGGAGGGCCAAAACAGGAGAGAACTTCCTCACCATTCTGTGCAATTTTCTTTTCTCTTGGCCTTTCTGACTTCTATTGCATTTACGCATCAGGATTGCAGCATTAGACCGTCTAGTTTTTCGTTTTGATTTGTAAATGGTTTTTGGGTCATCATTTGTTGAAAGTAAATGCTTGTCCGGGTTGTGATTCCATCTTTCATTACTAACGCATTGGTGAGACTTGGTTCGAGTGACCTTCAGTTGCCGCTGCCTGTTGGGGCGCGGCTTTCCCGCATTCCCAAAGTGGGGGGAGGTCGACAGGGTGGATTCAATACTATTGTAAGGGGGTTTGAACTTATCAGTATATCGGCTTTTTCGTGCTTTTGGTGAGCTGCTGTGTCCCGTCTTCAGATGGCGTTCTTCTCTTCTGTCAGTAATTTCTTCGTATTTATTTGGTAAAGGCAAAAAATGCCTTGATGGCACAAGGTGCCTGTCTGGGTCGGCGGTGCGTCTGAAAGACTTGAAAAAAGGAGTAGTCCGTTGAGTGTGTCGTGCGGTTCGTTGGTCGCCTTGGTTCTGTTTGACGTTCTTTTTTCCATCCGCTTTTTTGCTGAAGAATTGTGGGCTATGCTTGTCTTTCCTCCCTGTTCCCTATTCAACAGCATCACTACGGGACTCACTCTTGTACGTCTCGTACTCCTGCAGCCAGTTGGTCACCTGGTGGAACAAAAAGGTGAAGGGGAACTTGCCATATTCATCGGCGTTGCTCATCGTTTTGGTGGGTGTTTTCCCTCGTCCTTTGCCCTTGGTTTTGGTTTTTGTTCCTTGTCCTTGTCCGTAGCTCGTGGCAAACTGGCTCTGAAATGCGTCCACGAAGGTCTCAAAGTGAATGCTGTGATCCACATAGATTTTGGCTGCGCCTTTTGAGGAGTTGAAGGTGATCCACACTAGGTAGGAGCCCTTGGTTTTGATAGCGTTTTCTGGCCAAACTGGTGCAAAGTCCTTGTACTCGAACACTTCCCTCAAGACCATCATTGCTGTTCTCATCGGTGCTCCTTTGATACGGTCCCAGATCGGGATCTGGGGCTTGAAGATGAGGGTTCCATTGCTCTGTGTGTTCATCTCGGATTTCTCTCCTAAGGCCTGTGTTTCATCAGAAGTCCAACATTCAGGGATGCCTTTCGGGAATTTTTCTTTCTGCCAATCTAGTAGCTTTTTCCTGATCCATGGCTGTGCTAGCTTGACGTGGGATTGGGGGGAAATGCTGTCAGCTTTCACTTGGTGACTGTATTCACGATCTGCTGGCCAAAACCTTTTGCTCACACCTGCTTCACGTAGACACCATTCAATGATGCGCTCTCTATGCGTGTACTCATCTTCAAGGTTGGTCGCCTTCTTGTACTTCACCCAGTTGATGACGACAAACTCACTTGCGCATTTCTGTCTGTCAGTATCGGCCTGGGTTTTCAGGGTGAACAGGATTTGGTTGCCTTGGGTGTTCAGTTTGCTGTGCACAATCTGGAGGTCATCTCTGAGAATGGCTAGTTCCATGTTGAGGTCTTGTTTTTCTTCTCTTTCTGGCTTTTCCATCTGCTCAGGTGCTTCTTCTTTTGCGATGTTTTGTTTCTTGGCTTCTCTGTCTGGTGTCTTGGCTGGCGTGAGTTGTCTTTTCTCTTTTTCGGTTTCCATCTCTAGCATCGCATTCTCATCATCCGCCATCATTTGCCCGGCTGACTTTGGTGCCCACTGCCGTGTGGCGGCCGACATGCGTGCAGCTACCCTTACTAATCACAAAGAGAAACAGGTACCCTGGGGATATGGCTTATATACAGTAGTCATTTGTTGGTTGTATGTCTCAAGATTTTCATTATTGTTGGCTTTAAACCGTTTCTCTAGTTGGACCGGCCGTAGGGAAAATCTACAGGAAACCAGGTTGTTTCCCATGAAAATGGTTGTTTCCTGTAAGTTTTCCCTTAAACCCAATCCAATAACTATGATTTACATTGATTTACAGGATGAATCCAAACTAGATAACTAGGGCGCTAAGTAACTATGGTTCATGATCAAACTAAACCATAGTAACTAAAGCCATGCTTTCATGGATTTCATGACAAATCTCATCCAAGTGACCAATCTCCGATCCAGCCAGGTGCCGGAGCTCCCTTCACCACTGGGCAGCCGCTGTGGGCCACCACCTCCAGATATGTTTGGATGATCTTTAAATTCATTGGAGCTTAAATAGTCTTAAATCAACAATTTTAAATCAACCATCTTAAATCAACCATTTGAAATCAACAATGTTTTATGGATGTTCCAGAGATTTTTCATATGATTTAGTCCAGATATTATGAACACTGCTGAGTTTCCCTCGCCGATTGCAGTTCTTTTAATCTAGTAGCCAAGCTGGATAGCGGGAGACAAAATATACATTAAAAATATACTGTATGTGTAAAGAATCAAAGCGCCTAGCCGCCCTAACCTCGGAGAACCAGCTCGCGCCTTGCCGATCTTCGCCGCAGCGCTGAGCTTCACCAACAGGATGCCCGTGGCGAAATTCCCGGCAGCGTGGCGGTGCGCGACCACATACGGAACCTGAGGTAGGAGGATCGTTGCTCGAAAAGGGGTCGTTCCGGTAGATGGACATATATTTGTGTTATAACTGATATAGTATTGTCATAATTATAACTATTATAACTATACATAGTATGTATTGTTATAGCTGATATAGTACTGTTAACAGTATCAATATAACTGTTATAAATTGGGTTTCGTAAGTCATGGGGATACCTCAATAAGTCTCAATAGCTGGGTTATTTGCTGGAAATTTCAAAAAAACAATGGGTGATTTCGGGTACCCTTATGACTTAGGAAACCCTCACATATCAAACTAGTTAGATGGGATTATATAATTATATAATATTATAAACCAACTTATAACTGGGGGTCCATCATGACCTTAATCGTCTACAGTCTCAATGATTGCGACATATTGTCCCCACTGAGGCTGCATGGAAGAACATGGCGACCGAAAGTGACTCGATCGCCATTTCGATGTGATGAGTCTGATGGAACGCAAACAGTCGCAAGTTTTCCCTGACTTCTACCGTCTTGTGTCCAGGTCACGTGATTCGGGAGAAAATGCCCATAAATGGTATAGAGAACATGCGCAAGCAGAACTGCCATGATCACCGGGTGCATCTGATGGAGCCGACTCCACTGGAGACCCATTGGCTCGCCTAGCAGCTAAGGTCATCATTTATATGTACATATAGTTTAAGATATTATATCAGATAATATTGTATGATATTATGTTATATTGGGGTATATATATATGTATAAATACATACTATATCATATCATATCATATTGTATTGTATTGTGTTGTATTGTGTTGTATTGTGTTGTATTGTGTTGTATTGTGTTGTATTATGTTATATAATATTCTATTATATGATATTAAATTAACTTATATTATGTCATTAATTAAATTATATTATTGTGTTGTATTACATGTTAGTATACATTTTAGTATAACTACATATATATATATATACACACGTATACATAGGATTAGGTATGTATATATATATATACTGAACTATAGGGTGCCGAACATAAGACATCATAAGACCACATAAATAGAGATAACACATATTAAAACTTAAAACGTAATAAGTTGTAAGAAGTAGATGCTCAATCAGTTGCTCCATAGCACCAGAAACAAGATGGAAGCCACGAACCCGAATGTATTCACGTTCTTGGACTACGAGTGCAAACCTCTGCAATAGGAAAACGAACCTTTGTTTGCATGCATCGTGCGATTCACAAAGAGACAACTAACCAGCACAACAACATCACCACAAGCACAACGAAATCACAACCAGCGCAACAATATCACCAGCGCAATGAAATCAAAACAAAATCACCAACACAACAGCATCACCAGCACAGCAACATCATCAGCACAACGAGATCACCACCACCTGCCACGCTGCACACTTTACCCACTGCACACTCCACACTCCACACTTTACACTCCACACTCCGCACACTACACTTTACACTCCACAGTCCACACTCTACACTTTACACTCTACACTTTACACTCTACACTTAACTTGACACTCTACACTTCACACTCGACACTTTCCGCTCCGCACTCCACACTCTACACTTTTTACTCCAGGCTCCACACTTTACACTTTACACTCCTCACTCCTCACTCCACGCTCTACGCTCTACACTCCACACTCCACCACACTCAACACTCTACAACCACCACACTCCTCACTCCACACTCCACACTTTACATTCCACACGGCACACTTTACACTCCACACTCGCCACTTTCCACTCCACACTCGACACTCTACAGTTTACACTCCACACTTTACACTTTACACTCCTCACTCCACACTCAACACTTTACACTCCACACTCCTCACTCCTCACTCCACACACTACACTCCACACTCCACACGCCACACTCCACCACATTCTACACTCTACACACACCACACTCCTCACTCCATACTCCACACTTTACACTCCACACGCCATACTTTACACTCCACACTTTACACTCCACACTCCACACTTTGCACTCCACACTCTACACTACACTATACACTCCACACTCTACACTTTACACTCTTACTTTTTACAATCTACACTACGCATTCCACACTCTACACGCTCTACACTCCCCACTCCACACTATACAAAGCACTTCCCAGTACTACTTTGTACTGCAGAGCTTGCACAAACTACTTCCCAGTACTTTGTACTACACAGCTTGCACAAAACACTTCCCAGTACTACTGTGTACTACACAGCTTGCACAAACTACTTCCCAGTTCCACTTTGTACTCCAAAGCTTGCACGAAGCACTTCCCAGTACCACTTTGTACTACAAAGATTGCACAAAGCCGTTCCCAGTACTACTGTGTACTACAAAGCTTGCAACAACTACTTCCCAGTACTACTTTGTACTACAAAGCTTGCACAAAGTCGTTCCCAGTACTACTGTGTACTACAAAGCTTGCAACAACTACTTCCCAGTACTACTTTCTACTACAAAGCTTGCACAAAGCCGTTCCCAGTACTACTTTGTACTACAAAGCTTGCACAAAGCACTTCCCAGTACTACTGTGTACTACAAATGCAACAACTACTTCCCAGTACTACTGTGTACTACAAAGCTTGCACAAAGTCGTTCGCAGTACTACTGTGTACTACAAAGCTCGCACAAACTACTTCCCAGTACTACTGTGTACTACAAAGCTTGCACAAAGCTTGCACAAAGCCGTTCCCAGTACTACTGTGTACTACAAAGCTCGCACAATCTACTTCTCAGTACTACTGTGTACTACAAAGCTTGCACAAAGTCTTTCGCAGTACTACTGTGTACTACAAAGCTCGCACAAACTACTTCCCAGTACTACTGTGTACTACAAAGCTTGCACAAAGCCGTTCCCAGTACTACTGTGTACTACAAAGCTTGCACAAAGTCGTTCCCAGTACTACCGTGTACTACAAAGCTCGCACAAACTACTTCCCAGTACTACCGTGTACTACAAAGCTCGCACAAAGCACTTCCCAGCACTACTGTGTACTACAAAGCTTGCACAAAGCACTTCCCAGTACTACTGTGTACTACAAAGCTTGCACAAACACGTTCCCAGTACTACCGTGTACTACAAAGCTTGCACAAAGTCGTTCCCAGTACTACTGTGTACTACAAAGCTTGCACAATCTACTTCCCAGTACTACTGTGTACTACAAAGCTCGCAACATCTACTTCCCAGTACTACTGTGTACTACAAAGCTTGCAACAACTACTTCCCAGTACTACTTTGTACTACAAAGCTTGCACAAAGTCGTTCGCAGTACTACTGTGTACTACAAAGCTTGCACAAACTACTTCCCAGTACTACTTTCTACTACAAAGCTTGCACAAAGCTTGCACAAAGCTTGCACAAAGCCGTTCCCAGTACTACTGTGTACTACAAAGCTTGCAACAACTACTTCCCAGTACTACTTTGTACTACAAAGCTTGCACAAAAGTACTACTTTGTACTACAAAGCTTGCACAAAGTCGTTCCCAGTACTACTGTGTACTACAAAGCTCGCACAAAGCACTTCCCAGTACTACTGTGTACTACAAAGCTTGCACAAACACGTTCCCAGTACTACTGTGTACTACAAAGCTTGCACAAAGTCGTTCCCAGTACTACTGTGTACTACAAAGCTCGCACAATCTACTTCCAAGTACTACTGTGTACTACAAAGCTCGCACAAACACGTTCCCAGTACTACTGTGTACTACAAAGCTTGCACAAAGCTTGCACAAAGCCGTTCCCAGTACTACTGTGTACTACAAAGCTTGCAACAACTACTTCCCAGTACTACTTTGTACTACAAAGCTTGCAGAAGCACGTGCCCAAAACGTTCCCAGTACTACTGTGTACTACAAAGCTCGCACAAACTACTTCCAAGTAATACTGTGTACTACAAAGCTCGCACAAAAACGTTCCCAGTACTACTGTGTACTACAAAGCTCGCACAAAGCACTTCCCAGTACTACTGTGTACTACAAAGCTCGCACAAACTACTTCCAAGTACTACTGTGTACTACAAAGCTCGCACAAAAACGTTCCCAGTACTACTGTGTACTACAAAGCTTGCACAAAGTCGTTCGCAGTACTACTGTGTACTACAAAGCTCGCACAAACTACTTCCCAGTACTACTGTGTACTACAAAGCTTGCACAAAGCCGTTCCCAGTACTACTGTGTACTACGCTATAGAAGAGGTTAGACAATTAAGAAGGAAATAGTTAATTCTGAAAAATAGTTAAGTCGATGTTTTTAGGCAAAAAAAAAGTTAACTAATTAGTTAAGTTGTTTTTGTCTTAGTTAAAAAATAGTTCAAAAAGTAGTTCTAAAAATAGTTTAAAAAATAGTTAAAAAATAGCTTTAAAAATAATGTTAAAGAAAAACACTTTCCCCTATTTCTGAGCTAATTCAAGGCCAGCTTGTTTTGAACATATATTTCATGTTTCGAAGCTATTTGTTTTAAACAAACTGATTACTATACCTTGCATTGTGTGAAAGAAACCATGGTTTTGTGCAAATTGTTTTTTTGATTTTGAGCACCTGGGTGGTTGAACATGTGGCTTCTGAATTTCAAGGTAGCTCTCAAAGTGGCTATCACAAGTGTGTCCCTCAAAGTGGTTCTCATAGGTGTGTCTCTCTCAGTGGTTCTCAGAAGTGTGTCTCTCCAAGTGGTTCTCACAAGTGTATCTCTCAAAGTGGTTCCAATAAGTGTGTCTCTCAAAGTGGCTCTCATAAGTGGGTCTCTCAAAGTGACATTAATGACTTGAAGTGGCACCCCCAAGCTTCCACAATTCCCAAAATAACTTCTACCTTAACTTTCACCCCATGTTTTGAACCAACATGCACCCTACACTGTGTGCTTCCTATTTTTCTCTCAAAGTGTATCTTGCTATCAAAATGAATGTTCAATATGCCACCTCACAATTTGGAAGGTGTTTTCCAGCCTCTACCTTGCAGTGCACACCAAAAAAAAAAGACAATGCCACAAACTTCCAAACATCAACCTCAGCCAAATGCATCATAACAACAAAATTGTTTGGACTAATGTTTTTCAGGCACATGCACAAGAGCCACCAAGTGCCCCAACCCATGCCAAAAAATGTTTTCCAGTCTTGCAATCTCTTGCTGCGACACCATTGCTAGCAGAGCAAAATGCTCTTGATAAAGCTGCCAGAATCTGTGATATGCCCAGGGTTGCACACATTGTCAAAATTGCAACCCATCCAAAAAAGACAGTTGAACTATGACAACTTCAGTTTATATAAAATATAGGTTGCTTTACCTGCATTTCAAGTTCTCACAAATTTCTGGTCTTACCCTACAGCAACCCCCTCACCTTGAGAGTTGTTTTCACTCCTTCAATCTTCTCATTGGCCTTTTGGGTTTGCTTGGCCAGGTTTGTCATCCAATCCTTTCCACTCGCGACATCCCATTTCTTGCCTCCAGGTAATTCCTAGCACAGTCTGAAGCTGGATGAAATACATAAGGTTTGGGTTGGACCATGTAAGGGTGCATATGCTAGTTGTATTCAAAATGTGGTCTAGACAGCAAGATGTCTTTCAAAGGGTGCTTTCTTGCAAACTGGGAAAAGTGGCTGGCTATGAAAGAACAATGTTTCCAACAATGTTTCTCAAAATGATACCTCAAAGTTTTCCCTCAAAGTGCTCAAAAATTTGTGCGCCCTCAATCTGCACCCCTCAAACTGAGACTCTCAAAGTGTGACCTTCAAAGTGCCCCCTACAAAGTGCAACCCTGAAAGTGCAAATCTCCAAGTGTTCTCAAAGTATATACCTCTCACAGTGACCCTCACACCAAACCAGCAGACCTTCCACAGCAAACAGTGGTCCAAATCCTTGTCATTGTCCTGCAAATCCTTGAGGCTGCCCTTGAAGGTGTCAAGTAAGTCCTGATCCTTTGCTGCCAACACCTGTTCCTTCAACTTCATGCCATCCCTGATCAACTTTTCCTGAGCAACCTTTGCTGACTGCAACACCTTCTCAACATGGTTCCAGTCAACTTCTTGAGTCTTTGGCTTTGTTAAAACTAGAACTGTGTCTCCTGCTGCTTCTGCTGAGTCCTCCACTTGCTGCTGCAGTGAGCCAACATTCAAGCTCTTGAACCAGTCAGAAATGACTTGGTGAGAGCTTTCATCCAAGCTGTGCTGGCCATCATTCAATTCACTTTCATCACCCAAACTTTTCATCCTGCCTGACTTCAAAGTGCTGTAGCTACAATAGTCCTTTCCCTGGTAGCTGGTCACAACAACATCCCCACACTGTAAAGCTTTCTCTAGTGCACTTTCGTTGCCACCAAACTTGTCATAGAGCATGATGGACCAGGGGAAACCTGAACCAAGCCATCAGTCACAACAAGGTGAAGGCTTTCAGCATTGATTTGGATGGCTATGGTGTTTGACAAAATGACACATGAACCAGAACTAAATCTTAACCATGAACCCCTACTTTAAAAAAATGAAGATGGACATTTTTCATGAAATCTAGAAATACAAAACCAGGCAGGCCCAGGTGTATGATGTGTTTTTTTGGGAGAATATACTGTTTCCAAAGTGATGCTCAAAGTGGGCTCCAACATGATTGCCTGCAAGTGGCACATGTCCCTTCACCATCACTATTTGCTTCCCCAAAAAGGTACCACATGTGTATGTGCCTTTGATTTTTCCATACATATACATTTGTATGTGTGTACTGTGTGTACCTTGTAAGTTGTAAACTTGCATCCAAGTAACTTTGTGCCTCTTCCTTTCCATACTTCACATCCAACAGCTTTTGAACCCTTTTGAAGGCAGTGTCTTTGGGAACCATCACAAAGTTGTTGCCCTCTTTTCTGAAAAGGCTGTTGATGAGCTGAGTTTTGTTGGCTCTTGGGTTTTGGCTTTTTTCAGCTGCATCAAAGGCCTCCTTCACTTCTGCAGGCAAAGCACCTGCTTTCTCAAGCTTTCTAAACTTTTGTGCCTTCTGCCTGTCTCTCTCTTCAGCCTTTGCCTCTGTGGTATTGTCCTTCTCTTCATCTTCTGGCTTGTCTAAATTGTCAACCCATTTCATTGCTTGGTCCTTCAAAGTTTCCTTTCCTTTCTTTTTTGGGGGTTCCTTCTTCTGCTCCTGCTCTGACTGCTCATCTGTATGCTTTGGCTTGTTGCTGCCAGCTGCTTTGGGTGCTGCCTTTGGTGTTGACTTTGCCTTTGCTTGTGACTTTGGTACCTTTTTAACCTTGGTAGTAGGCTTTACCTTGGCAGCTGCCTTGGCCTTACCACTGGCTGCTGGCCTCTTGAGTCCTGTGGCCTTTTCTGCTGCGCTGGGACTTTTAGCATGTGACTTGGGTGTGGCTGCCTTTGGTGTAG